CGCGCTGCGCTGCGGGCTCCGTGCGGGGCGTGGGCAGGGCCCAGCCCGCGGGATGCTTCACCTTCCTGCCTCTCCCTCGGCTCCGGCCGCCGCTCCCCGCAAGAAGCACTAGGGGTTAGTGGGGCCGGGACTAGGATTGTGGCCTCTGCCAGCCCTCCCCAGAGCACCCTCCAGGCTGGTGCAGCTAAAGGGTGGGAAGGCAGGTTTTGCCCCCGAAATCCCCTCCAGTGAGAACTGGATGCCTTTTGCTGAATGGCCCTAGGGCTCACCTCTGTGCCCTTTTCTCTTTCTTTCTCTCTCTCTCTCTCTCTCTCCAGCGGCTGGATGTGTCCCTTGGAAACAGCACCTCGGATGGGGCAGGTGAGTCTCCTCGTGGATGTGAGAGCTCTGGATCTCAGGGGCTGGAGGGCTCTGGAGGGCTCTCCTCACTGCCGGGGAGCTCTGGCCCCCCTCCGTGCACCCCATGTGGAGCAGGATGCAGCCCCCGTGTGCTCCCCTCCGTGTCCCATGGTGGGTTGGGAAGATGGAGAGGGAGGGCCAAAATGGATCTGCAGTGGTCTGGTGTGATCTGGGCTGTGCTCTGGGGCAGCCTCTTCATCCAGTGAGGCTTGGGGGATCTAAGCAGCAAACTGCTTGGGGTGAGAGGAGACTTTCTCTGGGGGCTGCCTATGTCAGTATTGCCCCTTACAGGCTTTCTTCCTCTGGAGCACCAATTTGGGGCCACAGAAGCAGAATTGGGGGAATGACCTAGATTAGATAGATCCTTGTTCTGACATGGGAAGGGAGCTCCTACACCAATGGTATCTGTGTGGGATCCCCCAGGCCTCCCCACCCTTATCTTAAGGGTATAACATTTTCCTGAAATATTCCGCACCAGCTGCTGTCCTAACACCCCCATTTCAAGGCTAATTTAACTTGGCAAATTCTAGAGGGTCCAGAATCAAGTTTGTAATGGCCACAGCTGCAATCTTGGCTCTGAGCAGTGCCATGCTTCTCCAGAATGGATGGAGCCTCTCAGTGTCTGAACATGAGAAGGTTGCCTGACTCCAGCCCAGGGGACAATGCCTGAAAGTGGAAGAGAGAAGCAGATAGGACAGACCAGCAAGGAGAGAACAAACCTGATAGTTGGGTCCATAAAGCTGAGGCTCCCTTGGGCTGTTGTGTGTGCAGCAGAGCTGGTTCTGATGCCTGGTTGCCCATCAAGACTCCCAGCTCTCAGAGCTGGCTCCAGCCTTGCACCGGGATGATTAATGACTGCTTGAGGGAAGGGGCAGCATGGTATCTCCTGGACAGCAACTGACAGCCCCTGGGGGGGGGGGGGGGGATCTCTTCCAGTTCTGCCCTTCCAGGAGGTTTGGGGCCGCAGCTTTTGTCGGCCTTTGGAGAAGTTGGTGGACATTGTGACTGAGTACCCCAGTGAGGTGGAGCACCTGTTCA